ACAAGAAATCGCAAGGGCAAATTCTGGGGGTGGTTGCAGAATTTGGTCATTTTCATATACGCGAGCCTTGCTGGTTAGGAAAATATATCGGGCGACCGGCGCTTTTTCTCCGCTCTTACACACTTGTGTGTGTTGGAATAATTCGAAAAATTTTAGACTAGCCTGCTTGCTTTAGCTTAAACAAAAAGTAAGCGGGAAGGAGCGTGTGGCGCAATTCGTGTATCCAGCAAGCCATGTTCGATGGATGACAAAGGCAGAGAGCTTTGTCCGCGCCTCATCGACTACCTGGTAAATTTAGAAGTGTTCAGCTAAGCTTCATCACTCATTCTATTCATGCCTTCCTTTTGAAATTCTTTTCCTGCTAATTAAAATTACAAGTGGAAGCCTGTTGAGGTAATAGTCGGTCGGCGCCGTGGAAGATTTCTCTCCCAAGCAAGCATCGATGTTGCATCATCATCGTCGTCCCATACTGTCACTGCGCCTGAATTGCTGAGACGTTATCCAACCGATGATCACAAAGATTTTTACTTGCCCACCGACGTAACAGTCTTCTGTCAGCCAGAAGGATGCGTGACAAAAGGTTTGTTGGCAGTTTTCTTCCTGATATTTTGTTTAAAACTTTAAGTCTGGCCGTTAATAAGAAACCGATCTTAATTACAGTAGGACAGCGAAAGACAACGGGAAATGTCTGGCTGATGCAATATATTTCGTTGTCGTATCGTACTAAATGCGCCTAAATAATCATGAAAAAAGTGATAGTTTGAGAAATTCAAAATGAAATTCATTTGCAAAAGACACAACACTTGGTTAAAGGGTAATAACAATTTTAGCTAAAAGATTAGAGGAAGAAAACTGGATAAAAGAGATTTAAACAGCAGTAAGGTGTCCACAAATAGGAACAAGCTCTAGTATTGTCAGAAGGAGGCCAAGAATGAAAGAAGTTATTTTCGAAGGTTATTTCCAGGTTTTTGATACACTATGCGGTCTTAGACTATGAACCCAGGAATTGGCTCATTGGCCACTGAAAATATCTGAATTATCCGAAAATAACATGCACAATCGTAGTCTCATTATAATGCCGTAGAGGGGCATTTCGCCAAAAATGCCTAAAAGTGAAAACAGTGCATTCTTCCGATTTACTTGTTCTGATTTTTTGTGGAAAAATATTTTACAGGGATTCCAAAGCATTCGCAGTCTCAGCGAGAAACGAGCAGCTTTGTATTCACACTGACAGAAAAGGATTCAGCAAAAATCCGACATGGCATCTGCTTGAATTTCCTGCAGAGCTACGAAAAAGCTCGCTGCGCAACAGCGGATAATACAATCAAACCTCATAATAATCGATCCCGTAGAAGGTTGAATTTGGATTGCCTTAAAGTATTTAAACAATATGTGAAGCAACTGAAAACAGTACTATAAATTCAGTACATTTACAGGCTCGATTATAGACTTTCATTAACAAGTTTATGCTTAATAAGTCATCATCCATTTCTTTCAACCTTTCGAGAATTATTATTATTGCTGAAGAAATTGATCGATGGCTGCAGTCAGAGACTAAGCGAAGAGGGGCAATATCCGAAGTGGGTTTCTTTCCCGATCATCGCTTATGTCATTTCTGAGTTTCATTTTGACTCGTCTTGAAAATTACATTTTGGATTTTTTGAATTTATAATTCAGCGGCGATGTGCACCAGTGCTGCTGGTGCGATCACACGTTTTGTAACGTGAATTTTATTATATCCATGTGCATGATTCAGGCTTTTACAAAAGCTAATATACGCCAACATTTTTCGTAAATTTTCAGCTTTCTTGCCTGTCTGATTGCCAAGAGAGAGAGAGAGGTGATCCCAGTGCTGCCGATTTGAAAACGTTCTTACTCGGGTCACATGCACTCTTTATTTAGAGGGTCGTACAGGGGCAATAAACACCTTTGCAAAATTTCGGCTTTCTGTTAAACACGCGTTTTATTTTCAAAAAAAAAAAAAAAACCTTTTGAGAATTCTTTTTATACGGTTTTGTGCACTTTTGCGTATTTATGCAAGCGCAAAAACACATATTTTCGGGAGCTTGGCTATATGTGTATGTTCGGAGTGCATTTGGTCAATCACTTTCAAATCAGCAAGCAGTGATAGTATGGATCGTTTTGCAGGGATATTATTTGGGCAATACTTACGGGTTGCTGGACGGAGCCAATTCCTCCAAGAGTAATGCAGGATATTCGCGAGCTAGAAACTTGGATTCTGATGCTTTTGAGTGCACCAGTTCCTGTTCCAGGGAAAACGAAAGTGCTTTTAGAGGTTATAACGCTTTTCACTTTTTTTGCTGTCCTCAACAAACTGCACCACTAGCCTTACATTGCATCGTAATGAATTCGCCGTGGGTAGTTAGTTTCGAAGTATCAGCACACTCATTTCTGTCACTTTATCGAACCCGAAACCTCAAAAATTATTGCTTCTTAAGCTTTCAGAATTATACAAGCAAAGTGAATGAATTCAAAGGCCTGATGGAGCACTAGCCGGCGAGCACTGCAGCGAAAATACTGCGTGTGACCGCTGTGACTGCCATGCTTACACATACTCTTTTTTGAGCAAGCTCTAATTTTTTTACTTTTTAGGTGCTACCACCAAATGTTCTGCCAGCTTACGAGTTTGCTCTTCCAGATCACACACGGTTTTCGTTCGTCGATTTCCCTCTACATCTGCCACTAGAACTGCTTGGAATTGATACGGCCATCAGAGTTCTTGCTGCAGTCATGCTTGAGTCAAAAGTAAGGTTTTTGAAAAAAAAA